TCAAGGTCAAGCTCAATTTTATTTATAGAACGCATTTACAGCAGCAAGACTACGCCCAAAGCACTATACAAGGTACAACAAGTCAACAATAAAAACCTAAAATAAGATGAGCACACAGCAGTCACAATTTATAATAAAAACTGTTAAAAACTATTAAGATGCTCAAGTCAGCCTGCAGTAAAAGCCAGATCAAAAAAGTGCGTCTAAAGAAGGGATTTAAAATGCTCTAGAGTCTGTGTGGTCCTGATGTTGAGAGGTAGCTTGTTCCACAGTTTGGGACCAACCACAGAGAACGCTCTGTCGCCGCGAGTCTTGTGGCGGGTTTTTGGAACTGTTAAAAGAGCTTGAGAGCTGGACCTCGTGGTTCTGGCAGGGACGTAAGCGGACAGCAGCTCAGCGATGTAAAATGGGGCCAGGCCATGAAGGGATTTAAAAACAAAAAGTAAAATTTTTAAATGGATCCTGTAAGAGACAGGAAGCCAATGGAGAGGTGTTTCTACCAATTTTAACTACTAAGATAAACCCAAACAAAACCCTGTTCAGTTTTTTGCCAGGTTTCATCAGTCAAGTCTTTTGTGTAGCGTCACATAAGAAAATGTACCAGGAAAAGGCCTAATTGTGACACTGTTATCGGCCATTTACCATCTAAGTTTATCTATGCTATAATTGTCATTTTTAGCTGTAGCTCTTTAAAGCTCGACATGGTTGGTCCTACCCTCAACATAAGTCAGTGTGTCGAGTCGTACTTCATGGCTGGCCTTTGAGGATGTTCAAAGTATTTTAGCTTTCCTGTAATTCCAGCAGCAAGCCCATTTCTGCTGACTTGACATATGTCCAGTTGATCCGAGTCAAGATGTGTTCGAAGAGGTGGTTGATAAACAAACCAATGCTGACGATCACCCTGTGCATGGATCAGATATTTAAGGGTCAATAGTGTTTTATTTTATTACAGCCACGGGTTTCTTTCATGAAACGGTGTGGATTCTGAGTCCATGAGGTGATGTTGGTGAGTCCGGAGATTCCGGGTGATGCGAGTGTTGTACCAAACTGTCTGGTGAAAAGAGAGCTGAGCCGGAAGGCAAAGCTCTCCATTTACCGCATGATCTACGTTCCTACCCTCACCTATGGGCAGTGACTGAAAGAATGAGAGGCGGCTGGGCTCTCCCTTAGAGATAGGGTGAGAAGCTCGGTCATCTGGGAGGGGCTCAGAGTAGAGCCGCTGCTTCTCCACATCGAGAGGAGCCAGATGAGGTGGCTTGTACCTCTGGTCAGGATGCCTCCTGGACGCCTCCTTGGTGAGGGTTTCTGGGCACGAACAACTGGGAATGCTAATTTTTCGGGATGCACACAAACGGCACTTTGAAGTAACGCAAGTAACGCGTAGCAGTCATTTTAAACACGCGTTTGTTTCGTTAAACATCAATGTAGCGTGGGCACATCTACATACTAGGATTTAACACTGTTTGCTTCAGTTTGGTTAGATCCTGAGAAAAGATCGGACAAATTAGCACATGAACTTATATTATGTGTCACGCTGCCTCCTTCTCAACCCTCGACATCCTCCCCCGGAGGAACCCACGCTCACTCAGCCCAGTCGAACTCCACTACCCGGCATTCCCAGCACCAGCCTTCCGGCTCACGTCACCCGCCACATCTACATAAGGAAGTGCAGCTCAACACCAAACCACTCAGTCATCGTTCCTAACCAGACTATGCTCCGAGTTCCTACCAGATCCTATCGGATTACTCAAGCCTGTTCTGACCTGTTAAGGGCCATTCAGTCCCTTTACCAGAGGAGCGTGAGTTTGGTCCGCATAGCCGGTAGTAAGTCGGACCTGTTCCCAGTGAGGGTTGGACTCCGCCAGGGCTGCCCTTTGTCACCGGTTCTGTTCATCACTTTTATGGACAGAATTTCTAGACGCAGCCGTGGTGTGGAGTGTGTCGAGTTTGGTGGCAGGAGAATCTCGTCTCTGCTTTTTGCGGATGATGTGGTCCTCCTAGCTTCATCCAGCTCTGACCTTCAGCTCTTGCTGGGTAGGTTCGCGGCCGAATGTGAAGCGGCTGGGATGAGGATCAGCACCTCCAAATCTGAGACCATGGTTCTCGACCGGAAAAGGGTGGCTTGCCACCTCCGGGTCGGAGGAGAGGTCCTACCTCAAGTGGAGGAGTTTAAGTATCTCGGGGTCTTGTTCACGAGTGAGGGTAGGAGGGATCGGGAGATCGACAGGCGGATTGGTTCGGCGTCTGCAGTGATGCGGACGCTGAGCCGATCTGTCGTGGTGAAGAGGGAGCTGAGCCAGAAAGCCAGGCTCTCGATTTACCGGTCGATCTACGTCCCAATCCTCACCTATGGTCATGAGCTTTGGGTAATGACCGAAAGAACGAGATCGCGGATACAAGCGGCCGAAATGAGTTTCCTCCGTAGGGTGGACGGGCTCAGCCTTAGAGATAGGGTGAGGAGCTCGGACATTCGGGAGGGACTCGGAGTAGAACCGCTGCTCCTCCGGATCGAAAGGAGCCAGTTGAGGTGGTTTGGGCATCTGGTCAGGATGCCTCCTGGACGCCTCCCCGGGGAGGTGTTTCGGGCATGTCCTGCCGGCAGAAGGCCCCCGGGTCGACCCAGGACACGTTGGAGAGGTTACATCTCCAATCTGGTCCGGGAACGCCTTGGGGTCCTGCCGGAGGAGCTGGTGGACAAGGCCGGGGAGAGGACGGCCTGGAGCTCCCTAATTGGGATGCTGCCTCCGCGACCCGGACCCGGATAAGCGGAGGAAGACGAAGACTGTTCTGTCCAGATCAGCCCAAGCCACTCACCCTGCCGACTCACAGTAAGTCAGCTTGTTTTCTTTTGGAGCCGCCGTGCTCACTAGCTTTGTACGGTTTGACTCCTAGAGCAAACGCGTGTCAATCTGCCCGCCGTCAGTCACTCCGCGCTTGGGTCAAAATACACGCCACAATCCGAACTCTCGCTCCGGTCCAGCTCAGCTCGAGTCAGGCCTTACAGGATGCACAAATATCTAGGATATTAATGCAATCGATAGAAGTTCATACACCAACCGTCTTGGTCTGTATTTTAATCCAAAGATTAATTTTTAATTTAAGATAATGAAATTTTAGCAAACGTTTATTTATTGAATCAAAAGCTTAAAGGAATGTTTGCTTATTCAATAACCAAATATACACCATTCTGTGTTTCATTTCAAAGAAGAGTCAGGTTCTAGAAAGTTAAGAATTTATTATACTAACAATTTAAAGATGACTATTTGTAACAGCTTGATATTAAACTTATTAAAAGCAAACCTGGGTCTGGATGGAAAACTAAAATGAAATGCGAGGTTTGGATGCGTGAATGAATCTCAGAAGATTTCTTTCAGAGAGAAAGCGTTCTGGGTCGAAAACGTTGTTTTGCAGCTAACTGACGGTTTCTTAGAGAGAACAGCATCGGACACAGTCTGTGTTCTACCTCACCCAATTAGACGACCCTCTGTGTGGATCCGGAGGTCAAAGGAGGATGTTGTCAGCCTCAGGGTACTCGGTCAGGTAGAGAAGACCCGAGTGAAACCGACTCTCTGGTCCAAAAGTTGTCTCAGGGTACAGTGTCGAGCTTGCGTCTGGCTTACCTCTGGAGGAGTTTTACGTCAGCTGGTTACAGGTGTTTATTCGGAGCAATTCTATCGGCATGACAGAACAGCTTAGTAGAGGCTTGGGCGGCCGACCCTCGTCCTCTGGGATAACTCTCGTTACCATGGAGAGTATATGCTTGGTTCAAGAACTGAACTTCAGCTGCGGAGACTTGGTTTTAACAAAACCTCAGAGCACGCCCTCTCAGCGTCAGAAAGCTCGTTGATATGGAGTAAAGACATGTGAGGTGGTTAACTTTTACCCTGGTTTCAGTCCTGCATGAGGCGTACACATGCCAATGACCTTCGTACTGATCACACATTACTGATTATCATAAATAATAATTATGATTAACCCAAAGAATAATAAGTCATTTCAGTAATTAAATATATTTATGCTGAACCAAGATGATTATTTATGATGATTATTATATGATTGTAATAAACAGTAAAACAGTTTATTAAATTATTTTAAAATCTTGAAGTGTCCTTCATCTTGGGACGGAACAGCAGCAGATAAAGATGGTGTCGAGCAGACACCACGGCTCCAGGGTTAATCTGCGGGAACAAAAGTTACAGCTCGACCCAGCTGGGAAAGCGTGACCTTTGGGTCACAAATATGAGGTCATTCATGTCGCCACACCAAGTAAATCACGGACCTTAGGATTCCTGCTGAGGAGCTGGCCCAGGTGGCTGGGGAGAGGGAAGTCTGGGCTTAGGCTGCTGCCCCCGCAGCCAAAGATGGATGGATAGGTGATGTCACTGCTACTCTCAATAGAGCTGTAGATTCATGGCGTATTCTACTGTGTTCTTGGCATGTGTTCCATGTAAATATGCTGCTGTGTTGCTGACTGTTGCTACTTGGAGCTTTGCTGGTACTGGTGTTTCTACCGCTCTTTGGATGCTTTTGTGGGCATGCTGCAGATGAGACGCAAAGGCTTACTCCCAACAAGGCTGCCATTAGAATCGGCCAAACTTCCAAATAATGAACCGATAATCCATTAGGTGTTCCTCCGGCAACAGAACTCCAAAGTGGCTAAAACCACCAGAAGCTTCTAACAGCATCTACCACACACACACACACCAGTGAATGCTACAGAAACACTGCAGCAACATCACAGAACTAAACGCCACATTCGAAAGTGGACTGTGCCACGTTTGGCCTACATGAACGTTGAATACACACCACATACGTAATGTTTATTCATGTTTGGACCCAGCCAATAGGCATGTGTGTTTTCTGTCTTACCGTTTGGCTCCCACAGTGGATGTAAAAGCTGCTGCAACACCAACATTTCCCCACTAGGGGCAGTAAGGGGATTCTGTATTCTATCTTACGTGACAAAAACATGAAAGAAAACAGCGGGTCTGAACACCTAATAAAACAAGTGACAAAAGTTTATTTTGACCCCATTCAAATCTGACTTCATTACCTGGAAAACAAACGATCAGGAAAGTAGATTTCTGGAGATTTAATGACTGTGCACGTAGAAAGCTGCTGCTGCTGCTCAACGACACATTTTCATGTAAACCCTTCCCTGTGAAACTCTGGGTCCACTTCAACAAACCGGAACGGTACAAATGAGATGAAAAGACAGGACTTACTTTAAAAGTGCTTCTAGGACGAGACGGTTGAGATGAAAGTCACAGTTATGAGCCAGATCTGCCCATTTCTAAAGATAATCCACTCTTTTTCCAAAACTGGGCTGATGGTATTTATGCAGCAAATATCACTTCATTAATAATTATTTATATTAATTTCTAATTCACAATAAGGGTAAGTGTGCTCCTTTCCTTGCCAGCACAGCCACCCCTTTATTACGTACATTTTAGACGTGAATTAATTCTACTGCAGTGTGGCTAGCTTACCACACACACACACCGCTCACACCTCATTTACAACAGGACACCAGATTTAAATCATGTCATGAACACACGTCTGCTCTTGTGTTTCACAGACGTAGAAAACCACTCGAGTGGATTGTTATTAAGCTGGTCATTAACGGTATTGTTGCACGTCAGCGGGGACACCGCATCTTAGTTGGTTACATAAAACACGTCAGCTATCCGTTCCTTCCCCTACGCCTGCGGATGTCCCCAACCCTCGACATCAGAGTTATGCTACTGGTGAGAAATGATATCCATAAGTGAAACACCGTTTATGCGGCTCACATTCTGACAGCTGCAACTTCTTTTAGTCACACCGGAAGCAGATTATAAGCGAGGTTGGTTTTTCTATGAGGAAAATGGAACAATGGAACTGAAATGAAACGACACCACCGGCCTGTCCAAACCAAAGTAAAAATCAACAGTTTGGTCATGAAACAAGTGGGAGGATTTCATGTGCTGCTCGGGTCTCTGAGACGAAGGAGTGGGGCCGTCTCGGTCAACTTCTGACATTTAGGTTCCTGGCTGGTCTGCAGGTGTTTGCTTTTCTTCATCTCTCCTCTTAACAGAGGCTCTGACTGTCCAGGGAACAGGAAGACTTTAACCGTTCAGGAGGTAGACCACCAGCTCATAGGTGCACATCATAATAGCAGTGTTGGGGATCTGGCGCACCAGATGGGTGGTGAGACCCCGATACAGGGCACGATAGCCCTCCTCTTTGGGCACGGTTGCGAGAGTCTGGAAGAACGAACGATATTTGGTGCCCTCTTCCCGTAGTCTGGTGCGAATTACCTCTGCAAATTAAAAAGAAAAGTGAAAAACTGCATTTTTAATACATAAAAGCAGTGTAGAGCTGAAAACTGGCAGCAGTTCTCACCATGAGGATAAGCAACAGATGTGGCACAAGTCTTGGAGGCGGCAGCAGCAAGCATCATCCCTACAAAGTCAGAAGCATCTTTAGACAAGTCTTCTTCCTCATCCACGTTCTGTGGCGCCTTGGCCTCCAACAGGCGCCGCTTGATGTTTTCATAGATAACGAAGTGGATGACCGTCTCTGAGATCCCGGCGTAAGACGCCGACATGCCTCTGTAGAAGCCCAGCAGGCCGTCTGCTTTATACACACGACGCATACACTCCAACGCACTCATCCTCCGCTCCCCACAGTTCCTGACATCAGACAAGAAGAAATTAGTCACAAAGCATCGGCATCCACGCCCTAAATCAGAAACATCAGAGCAGGAACCTGAATAACAACAGTAAAAATCTAATAAGCACATTACGATCACATTTTATTCATCGTTTCATTTTCAACACGGCGGTGAATAAACACGTTGGCTCGTTGTGATCACGGAAATAAATGACCAGCTATAAAAAAGGTGGTCAGAAGACCTTCTCCAGCAGCTCCGTGTGCATGTGAGCTGCACTTACTGATCACATGTCTAAGGGCAGCAGGGCTGCAGACAGCCTCCATGGATGTGGACACAGGCTGTGGGGTGAGATGAGAAAGCCCAGGACAGCTTTTAAAGCCATTAGAGGTCAGCGCATCGCTGTCTGGGTCAAACTGGACTTAATGGTTTATTTTCAGAACATTTTTAATAACGTTAGTTTCACGTTATCTAAGGAGGCTTTGTGTGAGCTGCGACTGTCCTGGAGGTGGCTGCGCAGTCGGTCTTCAGCTGCCCTACAGCATTCCACATTGCCATTGAGGTCTTTATGATGTTGACGCTTCAGGATCCACGAGAGTGGGATCGAGTCGAAGGCTTTCCCCTTGTCGCTCCAGGCAGCAGACACGTTAGTGGCCTCAGTAAGCGATCCAGCTCTTCAAAGCCATGATGATCGGCAGGAGCTTCCATGTACACATGGATCGGCCTTTTCCGAGGACCTTCTATGATCAGGATAGTCTGGCCTAGGCTCACCCACTCTAGAGGGGTCCCATCCAGCAGCTGGTTCATGTCAGGACCTGCTGCAGTCCAACTGTTCACCCTGACCCAGCCGCTGCGTGGTGCACTGGTTCTTGACCTCAGACTCTGCTGAAGCCGACTCCGACTCTCCAGCTGCGAGACCTTGGTGTTGTGATGTAAAGAACATGCACCTTCTAAGTCTTCCTCGTGTCTCATCCCTGAAGACCCTTTGCATCACAGCGTGTGCTTCAGCTCGCTGCTGGTGTGCGTTCTCAAACAACAGAACAACTGGGTTGTCAGGTTTAACTAACAGACATAAACAAACTACACGGAGGCGGAAAGCAGTCCCTGTGCAGACCATGAGAGGTGAGCCGCATCACGGGAAAGCCAAAACAAGCTCACATCGCCGCTCAAACGCAGAGGAGGGTCCATTCGAAATAGAACCCAGTTGAATGGAACATCGATGCGTCACCAGCCTACATCTGAGGTTTGTCAATCCCCCGCCACAGAGTGGTGTTCACCTTGCGTCCAGCTGTAGACGAGTCTTTATCAGCCATATTGGATTTGTTGCTGTGATGGCTGTGAAACCTAGGAGGAAGCAGCAGCAGGATTACAGCTCGAAAATACATCTATGAGCAGTTTCAACATTCATTGGTGATAATAAAGCACATGCTGGGCAATGCATAAGTGTTCTTTAGGCTGTGTCAAAGTCAGTAACTGTTTACGAATTCAAAAATAACTTAAAGGGGGAAAGCAAGCCCCTTTAAGGAGCGATGAGCAACATCAGTCCCTAAAACCAGAACAGAAACACGGTAAAGGAGAAGATGACAGAAAGGCTGAGGAGGAAGGAAAAGAACCAAAGAGGCACAGATCTGTGGCGAGTACTCACGCAGACCCAAGCAACCCCTCACAGATGCAGCTGGAGACCCCTGGTGGTGTGGGGGTCTCATGGCCTTGCGAGAGGAGAGCTACGGTAGAGTAAAGGCCTAAAATAGACACAGGCTAGTGTGTAGCAACATGACCGGCATGCAACCATTTCACTTCCCACACAATCCCAGAAGATTTCATCTGCCACAACTCACAACCTCTCTCCACACATCACAAGACAGCATGAGGGACACAGCAGCTGACAGAGAAAACCTTTAGGTTAATATTGTAAAATAAAACGGTTAAGTAGCCCCAGTCCCAAAAAAACCCAAAAAGGTTTTAAAGGTCCCATATCATGTTCTCTTAAACCTTCGAGAGCAAAGCTAGGCAGCGTGATAAAGTTTTACCGTTGGCTCTATTCAGCTGTCACGCATCTCAAACACGAGTTATTTCCACCAGCCTGAGTTTATACCTGGAAATGAAACGCTTCGTTTCAGTGAAGCTCCGCCCACGCGCCTACAACAGCGTCTCAGGTGAGATGCTGTATTGGCCGTGGTGGTCCAGTGGTTAAGGTGTCCAGCCTGGTGCTCCAACCACTGGACTACCACGGCTGCTACAGGACACCAGTCGCCTAAGCCACAAATCGTGTGCTGGCCAGGGCAGACGGGTTTCAGACCAGCGACCAGCTTCTGGGAGAGGAGCAGGGCCGGATGACCCGGTTAGTTTCCAGTGACACTTTACAAGATTTTCAAAGTAAAACACTAAATTTGCAGCTGAAGCAGGAAAATGCATGAATGCAGCCAAAAATGGGTTTGTTTGTTTTTTTCATGAGGAAATAAAATCACACGATCAAAAGCTCCAAAACGTGGATTTTCCATGATATGGCCCCTTTAAATTAGGCGGATCAGACACTGACCAAAGGGTCCAGCTCCTCACAAACAGTTTGCATTATTACTACTAAACATAATTATTTAAGACTTGATCAATGGCTAAAACACTAGATTACTGGATACTAGATAGTATTCTCAAAGCTGCTAAAGTAGCTGTTGAAAGATTTCTGATTAAACGTTGTCGGGTTAGTTTTTATAACAACCACTTCTGCTCACTTCTACTGAGCAGCAGAATGAGATTACGATATTTCACCAGAACATGTAACAAAAAAAGTTACAGAATCAGTCCCAAAAGGTGCGTGTACTCCATGTCAGTGAGTAATCTGAGTAAAACGGTTACCTGCCATTCCTGCTGATATGATGTGCACCTGTGTGGAGTCTGGTTCCAACACACTGTTCAGCTTATCTTTCGCAGTGGAGTAAGCAGCAAAGTAGATAGCTCTGTGGGAGGAAAGGAAACAAAGCTCTAGCCTTCCACCTGGATGAGACATCATTCATATGTCATGGTTTCATGTGCATGCACAGATAAAAGCTGCTGCCTGCAGAGGTCCAGCAGCTTCTCAGTTACACAGTCAAACATTAATCTGACCCTAATCTCTGGTCTGGCTAAATGATCGTATCTTATGCCAGCAATGGAATATTCAGTAATTCACCTTTAAAGTGACAGTGTGCGTTTTTCCTGGCGATAGGGGGCAGTAGATACATAAACTGTGTTTTTGTGTTGGAGTAAGACCTTACCAACGGATGCTCATTAGGGTCAAAAAGCTCTGAGGAGTCCACACTTCAGCAACATACATCAGGCTCCCTTTCATCAGTGGCAACGAGTGAAGAGGTAAATGTGTAAAACAACAACGTTTAAGAATGACGCAAGTTTTGTAACCGTTTGTTACAAATCAGTAAATGCATTTTGTCCTCATGGGCTCCCGTAGAAGAAAACATGGTGTCGCCCAGAGACTTAGCCCACTTCAGTGTATTTTAGATCCGATTTTTATGGATATACAGGTCTTCTCAAAAAATTAGCATACTGTGATAAAGTTCATTATTGTCTGTAATGTACTGATAAACATTAGACTTTCATATAAATTACATTCATTACACACAACTGAAGTAGCTCAAGCCTTTTGTTGTTTCTAATATTGATGATTTTGGCGTACAGCTCATGAAAACCCAAAATTCCTATCTAAAGGTTATCTAAAAGAGCTATTAACCTAATCATCTGAATCAGCTAATTAACTCTAAACTAGGGTTGTCACGGTGTGAAAATTTAACCTCACGATTATTGTGACCAAAATTACCGCGGTATTTTTTTAAACGTGTTACATTTTCAGACAATTAAATAAACCCTGTATGTCAGGAAATATTGTCCTCAGTCTGTGTCTAAATTTAGCCTAAAATGTGTTATTTTGTAATTATGTTGTTTATTTGTTTACATTTTCCCCCTTTAGTCTTTAAAATACCAATATTTGCCCATAACTTCTTATTTTATGTCTGTTTGATGTCATCGTTTTAAAATATTAGATCAGATGATACTCAGTACTCAAGTAGCCTTCTAATCAGATACTTTTTTACCCTTACTTGAGTAATAAACCCTATATCAGGAAAGTATTGTCCTCGGTTTGTGTCCTTCCAGTGAGCTTTGCAGATGTGGGAAAATGTCATCAGGCAGTAATCGTTGTTAAATTCATAATTATTCTCGGAGAGAGACCAACTCTTATCGGCCCCTGGGAGCCCCGTAATGCATAGCGTCATTTCAACATGGCGGTGTCCGCGACACGGTTTATATGCAGGTAGCGGCGCTGCGGCTGCTTTATATAGCGACTCGTTGCATTCTCCCTTGACCCAAATCCTCGGATCACGCATTTTAGCCAAAACGCTAACGTTAGCTTGCCTTGCGTTGACTGTAGAGTTGTGGGTGATGGTCACGCAGATGTGTCATGAGATTTGAAGCGTTGCTGCCTTTCACAGACACTTTTTCTGCATGTGCTGCAAACAGGATAGCCGTCTTCTATCAGCTGTCCCTCGGCATTCTTCAAATATCCAAAAGATGCCCGTACTTCCCACTTTGTCTTCTTTGAGGGATAATAAATGTCCTGAGCCCTGCCGTCTCCTCCTTTGGCCATTATTTCAGCTTTAGCTTCAAGAAAGTTTTGGTTGTAAACAACAAAGTGCGCATGTGCCGCCGGCAACTTCAGCAGATGATACGGTGGCTGGTAAGGGTCACCGCGCCTACACCGCAGCCACGGTAATCCCACCAAGATAATATAGTTTTTAAAAACAAGACGGTTATAATTATTGTCAACTTTTTTACCGGGGTTTACCGCTACACCGGTTACCGTGACAACCCTACTCTAAACACCTGCAAAAGACTCCTGAAGCTTTTAAAAACTCCAAGCCTGGTTCATTACTCAAAACCGCAATCATGGGTAAGACTGCCGACCTGACTGCTGTCCAGAAGGCCATCATTGACACCCTCAAGCAAGAGGGTAAGACACAGAAAGACATTTCTGAGTGAATAGGCTGTTCCCAGAGTGCTGTATCCAGGCACCTTAGTGGGAAGTCTGAGGGAAGGAAAAAGTGTGGCAGAAGATGCTGCACAACCAGAAGAGGTGACCGGACCCTGAGGAAGATTGTGGAGAAGGACCGATTCCAGACCTTGGGGAACCTGCGGAAGCAGTGGACTGAGTCTGGAGTAGAAACATCCAGAGCCACCGTGTACAGGCGTGTGCAGGAAATGGGCTACAAGTGCCGCATTCCCCAGGTCAAGCCACTTTTGAACCAGAAACAGCGGCAGAAGCACCTGACCTGGGCTACAGAGAAGCAGCACTGGACTGTTGCTCAGTGGTCCAAAGTACTTTTTTCAGATGAAAGCAATTTTTGCACGTGATTCGGAAATCAAGGTGCCAGAGTCTGGAGGGAGACTGGGCAGAGGGAAATGCCAAAATGCCTGAAGTCCAGTGTCAAGTACCCACAGTCAGTGATGGTCTGGGGCGCCATGTCAGCTGCTGGTGTTGGTCCACTGTGTTTTATCAAGGGCAGGGTCACTGCAGCTAGCTATCAGGAGATTTTGGAGCACTTCATGCTTCCATCTGCTGAAAAGCTTTATGGAGATGAAGATTTCATTTTTCAGCACGACCTGGCACCTGCTCACAGTGCCAACACCACTGGTAAATGGTTTACTGACCATGGTATTACTGTGCTCAACTGGCCTGCCAACTCTCCTGACCTGAACCCCGTAGAGAACCTGTGGGATATTGTGAAGAGAAAGCTGAGAGACGCAAGACCCAACACTCTGGATGAGCTTAAGGCCGCTATCGAAGCATCCTGGGCCTCCAGAACACCTCAGCAGTGCCACAGGTTGATTGCCTCCATGCCACGCCGCACTGAAGCAGTCATGTCTGCAAAAGGATTCCCGACAAAGTACTGAGTGCATAACTGAACATAATTATTTGAAGGTTGACTTTTTTTGTATTAAAACACTTTTCTTTCATTGGTCGGATGAAATATGCTAATTATTTCAGATAGGAATTTTGGGTTTTCATGAGCTGTACGCCAAAATCATCAATATTAGAAACAATAAAAGGCTTGAACTACTTCAGTTGTGTGTAATGAATCTAATATGTATGAAAGTCTAATGTTTATCAGTACATTACAGACAATAATGAACTTTATCACAATATGCTAATTTTTTTTAGAAGGACCTGTATGTTACAAAGTCACCAATATTTTTCAACAACTGGGCATCATTTCATTCATTTTCAACAACATTTTGATGGATATTTCCAGAGAATAACAGTAAAAACCACACATTGTTTCTAAATGATCTGCCTAAAAGGAATGCACGCCTCATTTATAGTAATTCTATTTAATAATTGACTAATAAATATAATAAAAATGTGCGGATGCTTCTGTTAAAATACAAGTGTCTGTGGGTTTGTTGCTTGGTAACGGTGCAGCTGTTTATGTGCTGAGTCACTCATCCGTCACATTGGAAAGCCAAGTTTGTATTCATCTGAACAGTGTTTCAGCACAGAAGGTCTTCCTGCTTCCATCCAAGTCAGACTTTAAACACTATGTACACATTCCCGCTAGCCTCAGCGTTAGCTCCAGTCCATTACATCCCACTCTAACCTCCCATTACTGAAAACCAGCTGTGAACTTCTACACGACGCTGCTGTCGCCATGTTTCCGAGACACCGACACACAAACTGCTGACTACTGCAGCAGCATAAGGGCTGCTTAGGGCTCACGGAGCCTTCATGCGTCTCAGTGAAATGTCGTTACTGTGGTACACACAACTAGGCCAAAGCTGGCGCTTCAGACTGGATGTTCTACCACAGGTCAAACAAACATTTCACAACTCTAAACATGGATTCAGTCACAGTTCACCTCAGATGTAAGATGTCTTTTAAAGGGTTTGTGGGATTTCCACGAGAAGCCCAACAACACAGACCCATCATCCACTGGATGCTGGATTAAGACAAAAGTCCCTGTAACACTGGGCAATGTCATCTACAAAAGGTGTTGGCTGGTGTTGTATTTGTTAATGGGCAAAACACAATGGAACTATATCCTGCTAGTTCTGAGGAGCAGGGTCCTTACAGCAGTGTTTGAATGCACCCCTAAACATCTGGGGCCTCATGTATCAACTGGTGATGCACCGATACCGATATTTGCTGATAGCAATATACTGATATTAATTATCAGGTTTTGTATAGAATGAAACTTATTAAAGTTGAATTTACGTTATTATGTACACACACCACACACACACTTACACTTCTGAGAGGATAACAATCACTCACATGACTAAACAAATACACCCCCCCACCCCCACCCCGAAACTGACAAATGGAAACAAGATGGAAAAAAAATATCGGTTGTTAATATCAACCCAGTTTTAGTTATCGGGTCGATACCGATATTGATGCTGATAGATTGTGCATCCCTAGCATCAACCGTACTGATGCACACATCTGGGCTCATTTCGTGTGTAGGAACTGATTTACATATTGTGTGGTATTCATCATTTTGTACCGTTGTGTGGAAGCAATGGCGGTTTTTAACGGGGGCCCACAGGGGCCTGGGCCCCTGTAGAACCGGCCCTGGCCCCTGTTATGGCTCCTGCGCTGAAGAGATCGGATTTTTTTTCCCCCCGCGCTGCCTCGGAGACGGGAACTAATGCACTGCAGCGTTTCACACGGAGCCTTTAGAGCGCAGCACACTCTGTGGACAGAACTGTTTACCCGGTGGATTTTTGAATACAAGATTAAAAATAGTTTAAATGGGACCCGAAGAAGTTCTTGAGGACGACTAACGGAAAAGACGCTAAGAGACGAAGGTAAGCAATACAGTTTATTTTCCTGATATCAGTGTTTTGATCGTAGTCGCGCGTTTCTGTCATTTACTTTTAAGTTCCTAACTGAGTCTACCCACAGTTAACACTGATTTGTTGTTCCTTTGTAACATTAACTGTAAAATAAACATGAAGTTGCTGCATTTTAAGCCTTAGACACGTTGAGATTAGATCACAGTATTCATTTATCTATGACTTTCTCGCAGCACTGGCTGGAAGCATCAGCGGCCATGAAAAGAAAAATTGACATTTTGTCCTTTTTTACCGCTGTTTATAAAGAACAGCGTAGACAGAGAGAGGATGAACGTCACGAGGGAGCTGAGAAGCAGGACGAAAGAGAGAAGGAGGAGTTGGTTGGAGAGGAACCAGAGAGGTCAGAGGCTGTCCACCTGAGAGTGAGGAGGAGGAAGATGTAGGCTGTGAGGGAGAGAGTGAGGAGCAAAAAGAGGGACATCTTCTGTCATGTGCACCGTGTACACTACCATCAGGTTTGTGGGTGTTGAACAACCCCTCTGTGATTGCAGGAGGTTCTGAAATGTGTTTCATAACCCGGAGCAGGAGAACGGCTCCTCTAGGTCGGCAGCACCTTCCATCATGGAGATGTTGTTTTGGTGCAGTAACGCCTGCCCCTGCCCTGGGATGTGGGTCGGGTTTAAACCGCCACAGTCCAGGAGAACGTCACTGCAGCTACATTCAACAAAGATTTGTTTTAATGTTTTTATTTAATATCTACGGTTGTCTTTGTTGTTTTCTGCATTTGAGGCATGCTGACTCTGGACCAACATTTCTGTTGTTTATATTTAATAAATAGATAAAATAAGACTCTGAATTAACTAATTATGACTTTTATCCTCATGCTAACATTTATTTTCTTTCAGATATCAGCAAGTGCAAGGATGACCCACCTACTCAGCCTCGTTTGAGGACATTTCCAGTGACATTAATAGGAGACAGAAGGCGCAGCTTTCAGCCAAGCTGGTATGAAAGTCATCCTTGGGTTGAATATTCTGTTACTATGGACTCTACTTATTGTCATGCATGCAGACATTTTAGCCCACCAAGTAGCGCAGGGAGTGTGTTTGACTCACCGTGTGGATTTAGGAAGTGGAAAAAAGCTACTGAGAGAGGAGGGGGTTTTCAGTACGTGCAAAGTCTGAAAGGCATAAGGATTCAATGATAGCGTGGAGGGACTACCAGAGGGCTGTGGAAGCTAATACAACATTGGCTAATATACTCGACAAGGAACACAGTAAAAAGGTTAAAGAAAATCGTGAGTATATCAAAACAATTGGTGAAGTGATTTTGCTTACGTGTGTGTGTGTGTGTGTGTGTGTGTGTGTGTGTGTGTGTGTGTGTGTGTGTGTGTTGACTACAAAAAGCAAATTGTATTGTGCAGATATTTTATTTGTTTGAATGTTTATTTTTCATATGTACGGTTCATATAATCTTCAAATAAAGTCACAAACTATAATAATCAACTAGAATTATTTTTTTACTCAAGTCTCGTGTTGCGGTGAAACATTCAGAATTGTTATCTGAGTACCATAAAAACATGCCAGTTTTACTTTCACAAGTAAACCATTACTGCATTTGCCGTAATAGTTTATTTGCTCATTGTCTTATTATGAATTTTTTTTCTTGTGCCCCCATGAAAAAATACTGGCCCCACTGTGGCCCCCCTGGAAAATTTGGTCTAGAACCGCCCCTGTGTGGAAAAGTTCCTAA